AATATCAGGGAGGCATCTGGCAGTTCTGAAGCCTGAAGTGTGCTGGAGGATCTGATGGGACAATGTCAGGCCATGGCAAGTCTCAAAGTTACCCTAAGCATTTCAGAGTACTGTTATTATTGCAAGGATGAGCAGGTAAATGGCCAAGCCAGACCAGGTTGGACCTTGATGGTAGAAACATGTAGAATAAATATTTTTACTGTAAGAGAAGTAGAGGAACACTATCCTGAAGAGATAGGGCTTGGGTTTGCCAACTCTCTGCTGTGGGGAAATCAGCCAAACACATGGACCTCCAGCTTCCACCACAGAGCCTAACAATGTAAAGTTAGGTGCTCAGGGGGATGCTGAGTGAGTGGGTTTAACTAGAAGAAGCAGGTACCTCAGATGTTGATTGTGGGCCATATTTTCCTCAAGAAAAAAAAAACTTCAAATTTAAGACAAAACAAAAGTAAAAATATAATAAAGGCTTGATAGATCATCTTAACTATTGCAATAATAATCCTGTTTCATCTTTGCAAAGGCATAGCTCAGTTCAAAATAGAAACTTTATATGTATCAGGACATTTGCCTAGCATCTAACCAGGCTGAATAGATGTCAGACTTGAGCATACTACCAGGAAAGTGAATACTGATTTGATAACCCCATTTGATCTTTGACAACCTCATGTGCTATGTCATTATAAAGACTGAACACAAGGAAAAAGTGGTGTACTGACTGACCTAGGTCATGCTGACAACCAGTTCCTGACCATTCCTAGAAGCTTCTACGAGTCTCCCTAGGGCAGCCTGAATCTGATCCATGCTTGGTCTAGTAGCTCACCACTACAACTTGGCCCCTATACAAGTAACTCATTGATGGAAGTTGCCAGTAGTAACTCCTGAATATTTGAGAGAGACATGCTTCAAAAAGCTGTGAAACAATGAAAATCTCTTAACAACTGATTTAAAATCAATATGATGAGAGAAAGAACTGCTCAGAATAGGAATATCCCCAAGAGGCCAACAGACATAGCTACTTTCCTCATTGTTGTTTCCATCAGTGTGCTCATTTTCCACCCCGACCATGTGCAAACATTTAAATCTTCCATACAGACTCAGCATCAACCTCAGGCTGCTGGAGTAAATTAACAGAAACAACAATAATAACTATGTTTATAGGTTGTTAATCTCTGTCCAATACTTTAAATGTTTTTAGTTTGTCCTCTCATAAATCCACATGTTGATACAATTATTCCCACTTTACAGATGGGGAAGCTGAGGCATTCTAGATTCACTCAGCAACCAAATTTCAAAACCAAGATTGGATGGGGAATTGAAAATGACTGGGGTGGGGGGTGTTGATGCACTGTGAGCAGTCACCTTCAAATGTGGGAGCTGAGACATTAAATCAGAGAAAGAAAAGAGAGAGGTGTGGGCAGGATAGAAGGGCGAAGAAGGGCTTAGAAAGCGGGGGCAGGTATAAGATGGGTTCACTTGAGGATCCCCGTGTTCCCTAGGCTCAAGGCCCAGAAATACAATGGAAAGATAAGGCCTTCAAAGAGGCGACTCAAGGCCCCAGAGGGAACCATTTCCGGTCCTCCTGTCAGGTTCCCTGGCTTTCCCATGCTGGAGTCCACCTTTGCCACATCCCATTTCCTTGTTTGTTTTGGTGCATCTGAGTAGCCTATGTTTCATCCCATGAGCAAGAAAATAAACATCACCGTGGAGACAAACTCACTTGACTCCACTTACAGCAGCTAATGGTCCAAGATTTTCCAGCTTGAAGGCCCTTCTGCTTCTGTGAGCATTGCCTGAGAAGATTTGGCCATGGGAAAAAAAAAAGCATTAGGAGGCAGCAGGAAATAAACTGTGTCTGATCGGAAAGACTTGGACTAGTGCTTTATGGGTATGTTAGAAGCAACACTTCCAGTAGAACAGCAACACAGGCTGCTTCAAGCAGCCACTGGCACTCTGGTTTGCAAATTGAATACATTTCCCACTCCCTTCCTGCACATCTGCAGGGAGCAGGTGCAATAGCAGAAGGGACTGGCTCCGAAAGGACTTGTTGCTTGTGCTTTCAAAGGGGAGCAGGGATTATCCTTCTGTCCCCAGATGATCCTGATCTGAGCTTTAAAGGTCAGGAGGTAAACAGCAAACATGGTCATAGAGAGCAAAGGGTTTTCCAGGAAGTCATGCTGGGAAGCAACATCGAACCCCTGCTTTTTCCGTGCCTGATTATGGGAGGAAGAGCATGAGCTTGATTATTTTTATAAAAGGCAAGCCTGAAGTTTCTATGTTGTAGAACCTTCCACCTGTGCCAGGACTTTGACTAGGAGCTAATAGAGTCACAACTGTTTCTCTGGCCTGGAGAGAGAGACAGACCTGGACACAGATAACTATGCCACATCCTAGTGTCCAGAGCCCCCAAAAGGCTATGATTCATCAGTGTCTAGAGCCTGAAAACTACAGGAACATCAAAAGGTCCCAGCAGAGAGCAGAGGGTTCTTGTGGCTTGGTGGTAGAGTACTTACTTAGTGTGCTGAAGACCCTGGGTTCAAAATCTTTACCATTAAAAAAAATCTGAGTGTACAGTGTTAACAATGGGCTAAGCAGGCCAGCCTGACTAGATAGAGGGAGTCTCTGTGATATAACCAAACATGGTTACCATGAGGGGATAAAGGCTGTGATGGCTATGCTCTGTGTGTAAAAAAAAAAAAAAAGGGTAGACTTGTGTGGGTCTAAGTAACTGCAGTGTTACGGACCTACAGTTGGTCCTGGCCTGCCAGATACCTAGAGGTGGATGTGGAAACCCTGGAGTTTGATTGCTGGTGATTGGGATCCAGGACATAAAAACCAAGACCTATCAGCTTTCTTGCTGGGCTCAGTTTGATCCAGTCTTGTCATGTTAGATACTGCAAAGCTCTGTATAATCAGTCCTTCCAGACAAGGAACTAGCCAGGGCTTCAGGACTGCTTAGTGCTCTTCCCTTTAGCAATGTGGTTCTAAAAAATTCAACAAGCCCCCATCATGACCTAGACACCACAGTTCTGGGCTGCATTTCCAGAGAAGAATCTGGGAAGACCTGAGGGCACTGGGCCTCAAGACTCCTGCACATCCAGGAACACACTAGCTTCTGTTTCAGTAAGGGCTTGGGTACAGGCAATTGGCACCACAACCCTGTCTTCTGGGGGAGTATCATGATCAGGTGTAGTCGTCCAGCTATGAAGAAATGGGAAATGGGGTTGTGTTGATACTGGCCTGTCCTAGTTATCCTTGCTAGCAATGAGGGTCTATATAAGACCACTATTTTCCAATGGGCCAAACTGCTCCTGGTACCAAGTGGGTTTGTCTTAGGAGAGAGGAGTAAATTTAGATCTCTAGTGAGGAAAATAACAACATGGAGCTGGAAATCTAGCAATGAGTGTGGAGGAGGCCACACACCCAAAATCAGCTTTGACCTGACAGCAGCAGAAGTTGTCTCACTTTCCTACTCCCCACTACCAACATCTATTCTCGGCTATGGTTTGAACATCTCCACCAACACACATTTGAGGTGTAACCCCCATTGTGAAAGGTGGACACTTGATCTAAATGAGACAGACTGTTGGGAGGTAATTAAGATTAAATGAGGCCATAAGGGTGGGGCCCTAATCCAAGGGGACTGTGTCTTTTTATAAGAGAAAAGGCCTAAACTAGAATTGTCTGTCTTGCCATAATGATACCTTATGCTGCCCTGGGCCTCTCCAGAAAGTGCCTCCAAACAAGGACCTCACCAGATGTGGCCACTTGATCCTGACCTTCCCAAACTTCAGCACCATAAGCCAGACAAACCTTTCTTCTTGTTAAATTACTTGTTCTCTGGTATTGAGTTATAGTACCATTGGAAGCACTAAGACATCCCACCATCTCTTATCCCTCCCTGCCATGCTAATCATAATTTCTTTTCATCTCTAGTAATGTATAAGAACATTTTTCAGAGGTAATACATAAACTTAAACACATAAAACACCACTGTGGTTCCCTTATGTACATATTTGGTGCAGATGCTTTTCCTTCTCCCTAGTCATGCTTTTTATTGATTGCAATATGGGTTGTGATTCTGTGGCGAGAATCAATTTTGTAGGTGTCAATAAACTAAGAGGAAGATTAATTCAGACACCAAAACTGAGCATGGCAGCTATTTTGGGTCAAGTCCACTTTTCATTCCTGAATGGACTGTGGCTCATCTATTCTTACTCCATGTGACTCCTCAGCCTTCATTTTAAACATTGAATTTGGGCACATGCCTATGAGGAAGTCCTAGACTAATGCTCAATTTTGCTCCCCAGTCCATTCTACTGTTACTATAAAAACAACATAGAAGAGAATTTGGAAACATGTCATATAGAATCCTCATCCTTCTCATAGTGAATATTCTGTTTGACCTTCCCCTTCAATCTGGATTCATTGTGTAATGACTATACCAGGATACTCTTTATGGTCTATTTACTCAATTAATGTTAGATGTGTCTCCATGTGGCCTTAGAGTCTTTGAGAGCATCATTTCCAGTGGCTGCAGAATGTTGTGTCGAGTGGGTAGACATGCATTATTTAATCATTTGCCTTCTGTGCACATTATTGCTGGAAGCCAGGTCATCTGACCCGATTTGGCTCATAATGCACATTTGCTAGTCCCGGTACAGGGAGGAAGCATTTATTCATAAAACATTTACTAACTGTCAGCCAAAAGCAAGCACTGTACCAGTGAGAAGATGGGATTGAGGGAGTAAGTAAGAAAATGTGGTCTGTAGTACCCAGTTGCTTGAAAGTTTGACTGTGGCAAGGAGGCAGGCCCCCAGGTGTCACTTAATGAGGGGAACTGATAGGACTGCTGATTTCCAAGGAAATTATCCCAGACCTATTTTAATGAAGATAGGCTCTTATGTAATTGGGACTTGTCTTTTAGACATTAGACATTTATTAGTTACTGATGATAAAGCAATAAAGTTTGGAAGTAATTTAATCAAAATGAATAAGCAGATTCTTGGGATTTTTCCTACAGTTACATTAATTATAGTCAGAATCAGTGCCTTTGGATGTTTCCTGAGACGGGAAGGGACTTAGAGCTGTCCTGATGGGAAAAACCTGGGCCTTTCCCCATATGGATTCTCAATTATCACATACAGTGGCTGGAGTAGGGAGACTGGAAACTACCGTTTGATGTAAGAATACCCACTGCTTACTGAGCTCCTGCAGCAAGACAGCCGCTGTAGCAGGCACTTTACTGAGAAATATGACTTTCGCATTGAGTCTTTTATGGTAGGTACTATTTTCTCCATATTTAAGGAGGAGGCTGTGAATTAGAAAAGTCAAGCGACTTGCTAGAGGTTTCTTAGCAACATCTCTTCTCTGAAACAAGATAGCTGTATACGATTTAATGAAACCATTTTCCCAAAGAGTGGTCTCATGAACATTTTGCCTTCCAAAATAAAATGCTTAACTGGATAACAATCCAGTCTAGGGAAGAGAAATTATATATAATAATTTTAGAAAGCTCTCAAACTAATTTACATTCCAATGAGAGTATGTACTTTGAACTGAAATTTATAAGAATATATGTTTAGAATTAGTAAAGCTTATTTTTATCCTTTCAAACGAGACTGTACTTTGTAGTTATAAAAGCCTTTGAATTAAATGCCGCATAATTTGGGCTAAATCCTCACTCATTTTATTGGTAGATTAAAAACCTTAGAGTATTTACCGACTTCGTGTTCTGCCCAGAAAAGTCAGGAGACCAGACCAGAAACCGCTGGCCAGTGAATCTCAGCAGTGGGGCAGAGTCTATCTTTTGAACTGGCAGCTGGATGTGTATGGTCAACAGAAGGAAACTCAGAGTCTCTCCAGGACCAGAGCAGCTTTGAAAATTCAACCTTGCTGCTTTTCTTGATTACTTCAATAACCTAGTTTGTATAATCATGCAAGTTAGAGAGAGCCATAGGTTTCATTTTTGGATGGCACAGTGTGGGCGATAATTTATTCTGATTCATTCGTGGGAACCTTCTTTTCCACCTGACTGGGAATGCCTAAATGTTCTCATTGCCACCCACGGGGGCATCCCTGTCTCATGTTCAATCCCTTTTCCCCACCATTAGGTTCTCAAAGAGACCCATTTGCAGGCATGTCCACCATCCCTGCCTATCTACAAGGGTTGTCCAATCTACAGGCTCATATATGATACACCCTTGAAGCCCTGTAATGAGTTTGGAGTTAGAGATAAATTCAGGAGTCCTTAGCGTGTAGAGAGGAGCTACATCCCTGACAGGAATGAGTGAGGTCATCTGGAGCACAGGCAGATGGGTCAAGCGAGGGAACATATGTGTCTTATCTTAGAAATATCATGTGACCTACTACCATGCAGGATGCAGAGGTGAAAAATGTACACTGAGGCATGAGAACTATCTTGGAGGAATGAAACATTCAGGGCAAAGAAAACAGCATTCCAAACAGAGAGTGACCAAACAGTCCTACCCAGACTTCTATCTGATGCACTTTTTTTGTTACATTTTACCCAATCTTCCATGAATATATTTCCTCAAATCTTGAAAATTATGACCTTATGAGAGTAGTATTCTTCTATTTTTATATTCTTTTAAGTCAATTTTTAAGGTCATAGAATATTATATGATCATTAAAGAATACTAGAAGAAAAAGTAGAAAAAATATAAATGTCTTGATTCTAATCTTCCAAACACACCAAATGTTAATTTTTGAATATTTTCTTTTGGCTCTTTGGTGGCTTAGGATTTTTGATGCAATTATAATTACACTATATAAAATGTGCACTAAATTTAACATTCATATTGCACGTATCAATCTATGGCAGTCTTTTGAAACATGGCAAACATCATTCCAACCACATCAAACTCTGTACCACCTTTTAATTCACTCTTAATTATACCACTCCTTTCTATTTTCATGTATGTTTTGGTTACTTGATATTAGGCTCTCAGAGTAGTATGTAAATTTATACCCACAACTGTCATTTGGCCAGCTTCTTGTATTTCTTGTGACAGATTTTTGCCTCACATATTTTGATGTTAAGGTACTGAGTGTACAAATGTTCAGAACAGCAATGCCTTCACAATTGTGTCTATGAATATGAAATTACCCTTTTATGCTGCTTGATGCTGCTTATTGCCTTAAATTGTGCTTTGTCTGATCCAGCCACTCACGCTTTTCTTTTGTTTGCATTTACCTGCTATAGCTTTGCCTGCCTCACAGTCGTTTTATTTCAGGTAAGTCTCTTGTATTAATTTAATCTGGGGACCTTTGTCTTCCACCAGGGGAGTGTTAAATGCTTATACTGATTGTTGTAACCATTCTAGGTGGCTTCCTGCCAGTGTTTTGTGTTCCTGTATTTCCTTTCTTTTGTGACTTTTGAGCCATAGCTGGTGATTTCTTCTTTTCTTTCCTGCAGTGATGTGGAAGAAAGACATCTTGTTTCTCACCCCACTGATCTGCCTTCTGTTGTCTCCAATGAGTATTTTAATTTGTCTCTGTGTTCAGTTTCTAAGCAGCTCAGCTCCTCTCAGCCTGCCCTTCTCATCTCCACAGAAAGGGTCTAAAGTATTGATGTTGATTTTTGTTTGCCAACTCCAGGAAGGGAGTCCTGAGTGTTTGGAGCAGGAATGAACAGGCCACTTTCAGGAGGTGTCCTCATTGCTTCTTGAGAGACGAGGGACACCAAACCCAGAAGGTGTATACATCTGACACTGGTGGACACTGGCAAGGTAGAAAGTATTCTTTATCACCTGTGTGTGGGAGCCCTTCCTTCAGGCTCTTCAGGCCCTGGAGTGAGAAAAGTAGCCTGGCATAGATGAGGTCTGTCAGGAGGAGGGTCTTTGGGTAGAGGAACAGAGGAAGGGTATGTAGGGGACCTGATCTGGTTCTTCCCTAGATAGGTGGTACAGGGCATATCAGTCTCAGGTATGACATTTCCTAGCACACAAATTATTTTAAAATGTCCTTTACATGACTTGTAAATGGAATTTCAGTGAGGGCTTTTCTGGTATCTCCATTTGTCCTTTGTCTTTGAAAGGTAGTATTCTGATATACTCTCTACAGTGCAATTAGCAGCCTCAAATGGTTTGTTTAAATTTCAACACTGGAATTAATTTATTCAAATGGTTGCTCTTCTGTATTCCCTATCACAAAGGTCCTGATTGTGGGAGGCCACTGCTATACCCATATGTAAGTACTGAGGTCTGCAAAAGGTCAGCAGACTAGCTGAGTTGCAACAACTCGCTTCACACCCTAGAAGGTCTTTAGAAGAAGCACAAATGAGGCAGCCCTGTCTTCTAGGGTTCCTGAACAGCAGGACTTGAGACTGACGTGCTGTCACTGATTCTATTTGACTGGACCAAAGTTTTCCCAAGAATGTTCTTAGAGACAGGCAATCTGCCAGAGATCTGCTGGTGAGAAGAGGGAGCATAGCACATGAAGTGGTTAGTGCTTTGGTAGGCCAGTGTAACTTTTGGATAAGGATGATGAAGGCAAGTAGCACCCCAGAAATGTCTACTGGACTCCACAGGCTGGTGTCTCACACATACAAAGTTTCTCTGGTACCAGAATTAAGAGGTAACATCACCAGGTCAAGGAAGCCTGGAGGCTGGGACAAGGCCAGGCTTGGTCCTGGAAGATAAAATCACAATGCTAACCTTCATGATGCTCCAGCCTACATGGTCAGGATGACCATTGCCAAACCCTCAGAGTGCCAGATTAGGAAACTAAGGTCCAGAGATGTAGGTGATATATCCAAGGTCACTCAACAAACCTACGTAAATGTCTTACCTCATCTCAAAGTATTTCAGTGCATTGGTTTTCCTCCCATATGTGCTGGTGTGTACTCTCTAACTCAGGTTTTAACACCTAGACATGAGTGTGTGTATATGTTTCTCCCAGCAGAATTAGCCACTCTTCTGTGCCCTCTGCCCATCCTTCATCTTGCTACACTATAATTATTTGTCTCTGTTTGCCCTTGCAGGACTGAGTACCTAAGAGCAGGACTGTGGAGCTGTGCTCTACACACAGTCAGCACACAGTGGATTTTATTTTTTTAAAGTTAATTTATTTACAACCCTCCACTCATGCAGAGGTTACCATGGCTTTGTCCTCTTAAGTATGTAGTCTCTTTACAATGCTAATGGCCTTGATTCGATTATTACAAATTACATACATGTATCAAATTACCACACTGTACCTCATAAATATGTGTAAACACTATGTCAATTAAAATAAATGAATAAACAATGATACTTTAAAAATCAATCATTTTGAGATTATGTTCTTTAAAAAAAGATTTATTTATTTTTATGTGTGTCGGGGTTTTGCCTGCATGTTTGTGCATGCCTGGTACCCATGGAACTAGAGCTATGGAATATCTTTGAACCACAGAAATTGAATGTGGGTCCTCTGGAAGTGAACTATCATGCAGGTTGAGATTCAACATGGGTCCTTGGAAGAGCAGTCAAGGCTCTTAACTGCTAAACCATCTCTTCAGCCAAAGGTTAAGAACTATAAAACTATGGCTGCTCAGATTCCATTGCTTTTGTGCTATCCCTGTGGAGAATGCTTCTTTAAAAATATTTTCCTCCCAGAACTCAGGAGCTAAAGGCAGGCGAATCTCTTTGAGTTCAACGCTGGCTTGTTCTATATACCAAGTTCTAGCCAGGGCTACCCAGTGAGATTCATGACTCAAAAAATAAAAAAGAATTAACTAACTCACTTAAGTCAGAGACTGTCTAATTTACTTCTATTTCTTCTGTGTCTGGCATAGGAACCATGTATGGGAGTAAACTGTGAACACTTGCTGAGTATTTACTGTGTGCCAGTCTGTATGTTTGAGGTTGATCATAGGAACCTCTAAGAACTGGTGTATCAGAGTTGTCATTTCAGAATGACAGGTAAGAAGGCTGCTACTGTCACAGCCATGAAGTAACCATAAACCAAATTTCCCAAGCTCCAGACACTGCAAATGTCGATGCTTTTACTATTCAGATGATTTCCCAATCTGATTTTCTTCATCAGAAGTCATTACCAAACCCTATGGCATTCAGCATTATATTGGTAGACATTGTTGTTGGAGTCAATGCCCTGATGAGCCCATAGCATTCTATTAGTGAAACTTTTGCAATTGCCAGGGGACCTATCAGTGGACAACTTGGCAAAATCTTTGTGGCTTTGCCCACCCTATATCTAGCCTTCCAGTACTGTAGAGAGTGTCTGGAAGCCTAGCATGACTTTTCAAAGAAAATACAGTGAGACACCATGATCTCTTACATTGACTATCACGTTGTGCATAAAGACTCCTCTTTTATTCATCAAGGAATTCTCTTATAGCTGTAAAAGCTACTCTCCCACTCCACCCCTTGTATTCTTCACAGAGCTGAAGGTGCCTCTTGGAAGAAGTACCACAGTCCTACCCTTCTCCTTTCCTGCCTTTGCTTTCCATTGTTATTAGAATTATAGCCATGGAGAGAAATCTGGTGCAGATTGTGACTGCAGCCATTTCTGATCTTTCTATAAGCCTTGCCACTTATAGAAAAATAAGCAGAATAAATTTAAGATGGCAAGTCCTGAAAAATCTCCTTTTGTGAAACAAGCTCTCTGCATGGGAGGGGTTGTCCATGATGGGTGCTCCACTCAGAAAGAGCTGTGGTGACCTTGACTTAGATCCTCACAGCAACTACTCTAGGAGGCAACCATTTGGAGGTGCTATTGGGGAACCATAAACCAAATGACAAAACTGCCTGTCTTCTAGAGCAGAGGGCAAAGGCCTCAGTCCAGGACAAACATGCTGCCTCCACTCACACAGAGAAGGCCTTTCCTATGCTTTGTGTTTGGGGTGAGTAACACAGCTGTTCAAGGTATCTGTGCTTTTTGGTAGCCTCTGCTGCCTGCCTCTTGCAGTAGATGACCTATCCTGCCTAGTGCTTTTGTGAAGATCAAATGAGAGGGAGTAGTATAACCTGGATATGGTGGAATATGCCTGGAATCCTAAGATTTAAAAAGTGGGATGAAGAGTTCAGGGCCAAACTTGGTTATGTAATGAGTCAGCTGAAGCTACTTGAGACCCTATCTCAAAAGAAGAAAAGGGGGAGAAAAAAAAGGAAAGAAAGAAGCCATGTTAATTATTTGGAAACAGAGTGTTAGTAGGCATGCTGGATGGTGGTTGCTATCTTCCACAAGCTCTGGCCTTGGATATGCTTGATTCATACACATACTGTTGCCACAAAATGAGCACATCTAGTGGGATGCTCCAAGCTGGTGGTTTTCTAACTTATGTCCCTCTGCTTAGGAATGTATTTGGTTCCTTATTTTTATTTTTTATTTTTTGTTTTTTCGAGACAGGGTTTCTCTGTGGCTTTGAAGGCTGTCCTGGAACTAGCTCTTGTAGACCAGGCTGGCCTTGAACTCACAGAGATCCACCTGTCTCTGCCTCCCTAGTGCTGGGATTAAAGGTGTGTGCCACCACTGCCCAGCTTGTATTTGGTTCTTGTAGCTACTTTTCTTATTGCTATGACAAAATACCAAACAAGAAACAACTTTAGAAAAGAAAGGGGCCGGGCGGTGGTGGCGCACACCTTTAATCCCAGCACTCGGGAGGCAGAGGCAGGCTGATCTCTGTGAGTTCGAGGCTGGGCTGGACCAATAGCCTCCAAAACAATACAGAGAAACCCTGTCTCGTAAAAACCAAAAACCAAAAAAAAAAAAAAAAAAAAAAAAAGAAAGAAAAAAAGGACTGTAGGATGTTTCAGTGGGTAAAAACTCTTGACAATTTCCAGGAACCATAAAGTAGAAAATCAAATCTCAAAAGTGTCCTTTGACCTCCGTTTGTCAGCTATACCATGGCTACACACACACACACACACACACACACACACACACACACACACATACACAGAGTTAATTTTAATTACTTAATGTATTTAAAAGCATATTTGTGTATCATACATACATACATGCTTTTTTGAGACAGGGTTTCCCTGTGTAGCTTTGGAGCCTGTCCTGGAACTAGCTTTTGTAGACCAGACTGGTCTTGAGCTCACAGAGTTCTGCCTGCCTCTGCCTCCCAAGTGTTAGAACTAAAGATGTGGGCCACCACCACCTGGCCCATATTTTTGTGTGTGTATTTTTGGTTTTACGAGACAGGGTTTCTCTGTATTGTTTTGGAGGCTGTCAGTCCAGCCTGGCCTTGAACTCACAGAGATCTGCTTGCTTCTGCCTCCCGAGTGCTGGGATTAAAGGTGTGCTGGGATTAAAGGCATGCTGGGATTAAAGGCGTGTGCCACCACCGCCCGGCATATTTTTATATATTAAAAACAACTATGGAAGGGTATATTTTGGCTCACAGTTGAAAGTATGGTCTATTATAGTAGGAAGTTATGGCAGCAAGAGCTTGAGGTAGCTGGTCACATTGTATCTATCCACAATTAAGAAGCAGAGAGAAGCCGGGTGGTGGTGGCACACACCTTTAATCCTAGCACTCTAGAGGCAGACGCAGGCATATCTCTGAGTTCCAGGCCAGGCTGGACCGACAGCCTCCAAAACAATACATAGAAACCCTGTCTCGTAAAATCAAAAAAAAAAAAAAAAGCAGAGAGAGATTACATTCAGCTCATTTCTCCCTTCTATTGGGTTCAGGACCTAGCCCATGAATGGTGCTGCCTATAGTCAAGAAGGATCTTTCCCCTTCTTTTAAGATAATCTAGTTTATCAGTCCCCCAAAGGTGTGCCCAGAGGCTTATCTCCTAGGACTTTCTAGTTTCCATCAAGTTGACAACAAATATTGTCAATATCACAACAGTTCTCTACCATTTGTTATAAATATTTCAAGCTTTTCAAACATCTATTTCCTATAGAAACTCCTCTCCAGCACCCTGGAGCACATGGTTGGCATTCTTACCATTTGATCACAGCTTTTCTGCCCCCACTTCCCATTGCACTAACCCTAGATGACCAAACAGAAGACCTCTTTACAAACTAACCATGAAGCATCTCTCCTTTCTTCGAACAGTTCTTGAGTTCCTGCTGATGTTTATTTAGAGATGCCATGATCACTATGATTAAGAGCAGGCTCTGCAGTCTGATGGTCTGGGTGGGATCCTGGTTATACCTCTGACTGCATGGCCCTGGGCAATTACTTAAAGTCACCAAAGGTTGCTTCCCTCAGCTCAAAATACAGACATAATGGCTGCCGTTTATACACAGTGCCTGAGCCACTGTAAGCACTTGATAAAGGAGGGATAGCATTATCCTAAAGCATTTTTGTATGCTGCCATGTAATTGCCATGGCAGCAAGGGAAACTTTGTTTTATTGTACTAGATGAGGAAATAAGCTCAGAAAAGTTAAAACTCAGGCTGGGGTAATAGTTTAGCTGGTAAAGTGCTTGGCTTGCAAGTATGAGGACCTGAATTATAGCCCTTTGGGCCCAAATTTTAAAAGGTGGACATGGGCTGGGGAGGCAGGGACAGGTGGATCCATAAGAACTCACAAGCCAGTCAGCCTAATCTACTAGGCAAGTGCCAGACCAGTAAGAGAAGCTATCCCAAAAACCAAGATGGATAGCATCTGAAGAAAAATAGCTAAGGTTGTCCTTTGACCTCTGTACATATGTACACACACACACACACACACACACACACACACACACACACACACACAGAGTTAAAATACATTTGCATGAGGTTGAATATTTGGTGACAAAATTAGATTTCAGATGAAGTCTGTCTTAGTGGAAACCACAGAATTCTCACTGCTCTAGTCAATCTGCATTAATGCAACTTTGTGATTACTTCAGTTTTTGTTCCTTGGTCCACTCTATATGTAGGCCCTTTTCCTTTCCCATTGGGAAAACATGCAGTTTAAGATCTGGCTGTCCCCAAACTTACCATCAGCACTTGATTCCTGTAAGTCAGGGGGCCTCCAATAGAACCAGGGAGAACTTGTGCCCAGGTTCTTCTACTTGAATCTACCAATTACATGTTGACATATGAAATCTGACATTCATGCTCATTCCTCTGAGACAAATCGGAATACTTTCTCTATAGTCCAATACGCTTTGTTAACATATATTTTTTTACTGAACTTTACATATAGCCTTTCCTTTCTCCCTTCTCTTCTCACCTCCTGTATCTTTCTCCCTCTCTTTCTGGTTTTTATTTTTTTTTATATAATTTCACACTGTAGCCTGGGCTGGTCTGAAACTCATAGCTGTTCTCATGAAACTTCCAAAGTAATCAGGGAGTAGTGGTGCATG